CTCTCTCTCTCTCTCTCTCTCTCTACGCAATCATAATAATTATACTGTTTGTGAAGTAATAGACACTTATGTTAGTTATTTCTTGGTCTCTCTCTCTCTCTCTCTCTCTCTCTCTCTCAAAACGTTGAGTTAATAAATATTTAGCTAAAAATAATTTTGAATTTGAATTAATAGCGAGCTCTGGATAATTAGTTATGACAACATTTGATTTTTTATATTCCACTCGATGTGGTTTAACCTTCAATAATTTTTTTGTTGCTTATAATTTATATAAATGTATAAAATGTATAATAATGTATAACATGTATTTGTAAGTTTTATGTATTTTGTGTTTAATTTTTATGATTATTGTTGGTTAGTCTGTGTGTCCCGTAAACTAACGCAAACCCAATTTGTCTATTGACTGCACATTAAGAGTAATCGTTACGTTTTTTTAGACAAAATAATTAAGGTTTTAATGTGAGAAAATAACCGGCTTTTCCTTCCCGTTTACAATTAAAGATAAATAAAATACATTTTATTTTTGCACATATTTCCACGTTTTATGGAAAATACCGCTTAAAACAAGAAAAATTTGTTTATTTCAGTCTATTTCCACTCTCATAACGCAAATCACTGGACTATAATATGATAATTAGTATACAGCAGTAACTAATAATTATTACAGTGTAGTTTCATTCATTTTCCCTTAATACATTACAAGGGAAAAAATTAACTTAATTTTAAGCTAGTTAATCAATATTTGTCACATGATTTAGTAAAATGTTGTTTTCATGAAAATGTTTATTTTAAGAAACTTTGTAATTGATTAATTATTATATATTTCAACATTTAATGCATGAATTATATCCAAAGAAACTAAATCATGAATTGAATTATAAGTGAAAATTAAAATTCACTCAATATATCAAAGGCTTTCGATATAACATCTGTCATAACGTGTATATTAGGCTTTAAAATACTTGTCAAAAAAAATTACAAAACAGGAATTTGTGAGTACTTTAGCCTTCGGATAAAAAATCTATTGACCGAAGGGATAGTCGACACTACAAGTCGTGAATAAAAAACAATTTTAAAAAACAAAAGGCAAAACTTCTCAATCATTTCATAATATATAATATAATACTTTACAATATGTGTGGGTCTGGAAAGGGAGAGGAATTTGTTGGTAGTGTTTGTATATAAATATTTTCTATCATTAGTAGCCGTAAAATCTGTAAATCGGTGTTAGATTAGACTCAATATAAATATACGTGACTTTTGACTCCATTTATTGAACTGCATTTTTATGACAACATTTTTTAGTAATGATTACATATGAACTTCAGTACCCCTTTCACCCCTCAAAATGTCATATTTGTATCTTGATAACTCAATTATCACAACTCTCTCTCTCTCTCTCTCTCTCTCTCTCTCTCTCTCAATAAAAGCCTACGCCCTTTAGCCCCTCAACCCCTCCTAATAGCAATGTATGGGTCGGCAACTGATTACATAAACCATGTGAAGACTGGTATTAATATGTTTGGTAATGTATGGTATATATTCTGATAGCTTTATAATTGGTAAGGAATGACCTCTTATGGCAGAAATTATGGTAAAAATGCAAATCTAAACAATTTACTTTTATACATGATAATTTATCATAACAATTATTGTTAGTTAATTTTAATGTAAATTTATATGTGAAACTTTTTTTAAATAATAGGAAAATTTTGTATTATTAAAACATAATTACAATTATGTGAAATTTATAAACTAAAATCACAAAAATAATTGTAAAATTAATTAAATTAGGGAAAATATATAATTAAATATATGATAAATGTAATATAATAAACAATATCTTACTGTTTGTCAGTGTATTTATGATTTCACTTATGACATGAATTACATAAACAATTGTTCCCCAAATTTCAACCAATATTTGAGGGAAGGCTTTGAGTTTTATACTATTATTTAACATTTGTTATAAAATACGATTGTTATTTAATAGTATTTACAAATCACATGTAATTCGTTATGAAATCAATTATTAAATAAAATTGCAGTTAATATTTGTAAGAATTATGGAAATATTATGAATACATTATTTTATAATACTTTTACAATGACTGTCAGTAAATTAGTTTTAATTTTTATAGGTTTATGAAATGTTGTGATTTCGCATAAACAGCATATAAAATGTCTATTTTTAATTTTTTGATTTTTAAATTTATCTTTATTATTATGTTTTTCAATAAAAATCACGTTAACCAATATTTATTTTTAATTTATATAACGTTAATTACATAATGTCTGGCAAATGGTGTAAACAACACTTTAGTTCATTATCTTTATTGAGTGTATTTTAATGACATATCACCATAATTGTTTTCAAAACAATATTTGGATTTACAAATTGAATAACAATCGTTAATTAATTAAAATATGTTGACATGTATTTTTAAATCATTAAATTAATAATATATTAAAAAATTGTTGCAAAATGTATTAATTTTAATTGCTATGAATGCAGACATGCATTTTAGTAAACATATAATTTTTCAAACAAAAAACATCAATATAAATTTTTCAATTTTATTTCTATTATTAAACCAGATTTAGATATCCAATGATTTTTTGTATTCAGACAAACAACCACTTAATTATAAATACATAACATGTGCATAGAATATGTTGCTTAAAATGCTGTATTTACTTATAAACTATTTTAATTTATACCATCATATTATAATTAAAAGTATCTTTGTTGCTATCCAAGAATGTAAAATTTTGACTGATTAGGTGACCTTATAAATGGGAATACGTGTAAATTATATTTTGTAATTAATTAGTAACATAAAGATATTTAATATCATATGTAATAATACAAGACAATTTTATCTTATTCTTTTTTAAAACTATCAATTAATTGGTTTAATAATTGTCAGTTTGTGACAAAACTGAAGTTTACAAAAACAAAATGCACATCAAATATCTGTGAAGACTTTCCCTTTGAATCTAAATTCAAATCACATTTGATAAACAATTGTGACCTTCACTGTGAAAGTTATAACATTATATATTTTTATTCATTTTTGTCCGAAATATGATCATATGATGAGTACATCGGTTTAGTTTGGTTTAATTGAATCTTTAAGAAATTCATTATCAGATTGAGTGTTATATAAAATGACACGAAAAAAACAGAATTTATAATTACAAAAAATTGGTTAATTAACCAAAAAATGACAACATTTTAAATGTCTAGTAAATCATTGATTTGTTTTTTATATTTCTAAATAAATATTTTATAAATTTTGAAATGTCTGCAAATTTTTCAAACAAAAATCAGAAAACTTTTACAAATAATTGTATAATTACAGGATAAGCGCTGATTTGTTTGAACGATAACTAGTTAACAATGTCTTATATTTAGACACACGATCACAATTAGCTTAACCATACATTTGTATGGCTTATGAAAGGTCTCGGCAAGAAATAAAAGCACGTTTTTGTTGTTTTTATTTTGAATAATTGTTTGTCTTAATCATGAAAAACGTAAGAATTTAAAAATAGTTGTTTGACTAACACTGAAAACAATTGCTAATTAATTATTTATGATTTAATTACTTGGCTTTTAATTATAATATGTGTTAACAAATCAGTTTGTCTTAATCATGAAAAACGTAAGAATTTAAAAATAGTTGTTTGACTAACACTGAAAACAATTGCTAATTAATTATTTATGATTTAATTACTTGGCTTTTAATTATAATATGTGTTAACAAATCCATTTTGTATAATTGATTTAATGATTATGATATGTTAATAAATAATTATGGTGAATGTTTTTAAATTATATGCTTCAAACAACATTCCTATAATAAATCTCCATATTTTCAATGTAGTATTTAATTTTTGTTATTCAAACAATGATGGTAAATATGTGCTGATTTGTATGGAAAATATATATCACATAAACGAGTCAATAAGTGATGACTTAACATCAATCCCTGTTATCATAACATTTTTGATCACAAATTAAACCCTTGAGAAAAACAATTAAACAATATCTGTAAGTCTTGTGACAATTATATGATTATTCCTTAGACTTTAAAATTGGGATTTATTTTCAAGTTTTATTCTTAGAAATTACTCCTAATTTGTGAGCTGATTAGAAATAGTTATTTAAATACATTTTGCGTATACTTTAGACACTTTGGATAATTGTTGGACAAATTGCACAAAATATGCAGAAAATTACTGCTAATTAAATAAGGTATCGGTCTGTGGTTTACTATATCATGTTACATACTTAATTGTTTTGCTAAATACAAACTGGGATTATATTGTTTGTTACAAAAGGGCTAGAGTTCATTATAGATATTGATGTATCCATTATCTCATTGTTTTAATATCAATTGTATTATTAATTAAACATTATGAACCAAATTTAACAGTATTATAACTTTTTTAAATTTAACTATAGTTTAATGCATTAAAAATTATACTAAATATCTAGCTAATTTTATAAATTTATATAAATTTTGTTGATTATTTGAGTCAACAAAAAATATTATTTTTCCAAAAATTATAGCAAATAAATCTTTGAGAAAACGTTACATAATTGCAAAAAGTAGAGTAAAACTGTTGTGAGACCTATTGATTAGTTATCAGTTGTTTTCGTTGAGAAAACAATGCAATCAAACAATTGATTAATGAAATTAATAATTTCAATGTCAGCGTATAATATATGGTAAAATATCTGTCGATTCTCAGACATATATGGGTTGTTCCGTTAGTTTAGTATTTTGTTGGTATTAAACATGTAGTTTCTGGTCCACCATATATCACACCAGATCCCGCATCACAACCAATAAACATATTATTCATCGCATACAATATCGCACATCAAATATAATACATAAATAAAAATACTAATTAATTTTAAAACAATTTTATTGCAGTAATTATAAAATCCAAATAAAGTATTTAATAACTGAATATTATAGGGAATAATGACGTAAACATCCACTGCTTTTTAGGGGTCTGTTATCGACTAAATTCTCAATGAGTTATAATTGTTTTGCGGATTAATCTCTTGGTAACGAAAAATCACAGAAAAAAGTTGTTATCAAATAAAAAATTCATTGCTATTTATTTGAGGGCAGATCTCACACCAGTGTTCAGTTGTCGGCCCAACCGGTGAGCCCTTACTTTCATTTCAAAAAACTTTGTATTGTTTTTTGAAGGATTTTTACAGCCTTTTGGAGATGAAGTTTGCGTTGTGTTGTTTGGCATTAATTGCCCTCATTATCAACAGCGAGTCCGCATCTAAAGGTACATCTCTTTACATCTTTTTTCATCACTTATTAATCCCTTAAATTTTGAGTATATTAAGTAAAAGTTGCAAAATAATTATTTTAAAAGTTATTTATTACTGTTATTAATGTATAATTAATATTATCAATGATAAGTTATTTTAAATATTTTGTTTATGTTTTAAATGTATTGATAATGATTGTAGAAAATTTAATATTTATTTATTACAAATGTCCTTAGAATGCACTTTTCTCTACAATTAGAAATAATTTAAATGATTTTTAACCTAATATTATAGCAATTATTAAGCAAATTATTAAACGGTTAAATTAATATTCTTGATCGTTAGTACAGTATAAATGTACTGACATTGTTGGTACTTTAAGATATACTGCAATATACGAGTTCATAAATACCATTTAATTATATAAGTGTACTTAAACATTTGTATTAATTAACTATTTAATATACAGATAGGTTCAATCAAAAGTATCGAGTGGTATGTTATTGGGGCTCCTGGTCTTTCTATAGGCCTGGCGATGGAAAGGTGTGTGAAATGCGTTTACAAACAATTTGTTTATAAATATAATAAAATTAAATAATTACCAAACAATTTTATATGCAGTTCGAGGCCGAGAGCACTAACCCTCTGGTGTGCACTCATCTCGTCTATGGGTTTACAAAACTAAATCCCGACAACACTATCGGTATATTCGACAAAGACTTAGACACTGGCGATACTGACTGGCAAAGTGGTCTCGAATGGGGACACGGTTTGTGCTCTCTCTCTCTCTCTCTCTCTCTCTCTCTC